ACGTGCTGCCTCAGTTTACCTTTGGAGCTTAGTGCTGCCTCCTGCACTGTCTCTACCTGCCACAGGAGGGTGTACATGGTGAGATTTCACTTAATGTAAATAAAAGGCATTTTGGTAAATCCATCAGATGAGATGTTTCTGTGCTGGCCCTTGGAGGGTGGACGCAGCATTCTTACCAGCCAGAGAGTCAGTCCCTCCAGCTCTGTAAGCCATAGTCTCTGGATTGGTTGGTTGGCGACAGCTCCTGAAGAGGCTGTAGGATCCCCTGTAGGCAGCTCCTTTATTTCCACACTGAGTCCAGGTGAACCCCCAGGAGGGCTAAGGATGAGCCCAAGGTCACAGGCAGAGCTGGAACTGCCATGAGCAGAAGATACCTCTCTTAGCTGGGTGGCAGCTTGTGGAGTGTCATCCCCTGGGTGGCTTGGGGGAAGACAAGCCCCATTACTAGGCTGTCCTTTCTCCTCCAGGACACTTGCTACTGGGCTCTGTTCCCATGGTGTGCCAGCCAAGACTGAGCAGGTTGGGACCCATTAGGCATGATGTGAGCCACCCCCCTGCCCCAGCCTGGTGCTGGGTCCCAAGGGAATGGGTGAGGTTAGGACCCCCTGGGCTCTGCTGCTCTGGGAAGACCTGTGTTGGGCCTGTGGTCTGTACTGTGAGACTGGTGCTTTAGTTTGCCCTCCTGTGGCAGGGAAGTCCCAGATTGAGGGCTTTGGTGGGAAAAGGGGACATAGTGTGGGGGTCCCTGGGACTGGGAGGCTGGCCTGCCCTGGCTGGTGGGGGAAACTGGTATGTGGGTTCTGAGCATGGTTAGAAGATAGGGCAGTAGGGTTTCCAGACAGATGGGACACGGGGGTGAGAGGTGGAAGAACTTAGCTTGGTAGGCTGTCAGAGGAAGATCAGGGTTTATGGAGCTGGGCAGGCATCATGGTGGGCCTAGGGTCTTTTTTTTTTTTAAGAGACAGAGTCTCACTTTGTCACCCTTGGTAGAGTGCTGTGGTGTCACTTTGTTGCCCTCGGTAGAGTACCATGGAGTCACAGTTCACAGCAACCTCCAGCTCTTGGGCTTGGGCTATTCTCTTGCCTCAGCCTCCCAAGTAGCTGGGTCTACAGGTGCCTGCCACAACACCCAGCTATTTTTTGTTACAGTTTGGCCAGGGCTGAGTTTGCCACCCTTGGTATATGGGGCCAGTGCCCTGTTCACTGAGCCACAGGCACCACCTGGGCCTAGGGTCTTGAGCTCAGGATATTGGACCTGGGGTGTGGGTCTCACATCAGCCATGGTGCCTTGAGTCTTGAGGCCAGCCAGTGAGGCTGTAGGCAGGCCTGGCTGCCACCAAAAGGCAGGGCAGGGAGTTGCAGCAACCCAGGAATAGAGGTGAACAGGAGGGGGCTGCAGATGTGGGGTGAGGGAGGAGGAGAGGCCTGGAGATTGAGAAGCAAAGGAATGGGGTGGGTGTGGGTGCTGGACCAAGAGTGTATGGGTTTTTTTTTTTTGAGATAGGAGCCTCCAGCTGTCCCCTTGGGTAGAGTGCGGTGGCTTCACAGCTCACAGCAATCTCCAACTCCTGGGCTTAAGCGAGTCTCCTGCCTCAGCCTCCCAAGTAGCTGAGACCACAGGTGCCTGCCACAATGCCTGGCTTTTTTTTTTTTTTGGTTGCAGCCGTCATTATTTTTTGGTGGGCCCGGGCTGGATTTGAACCTGCCAACTTAGGTGTATGTGGCTGGCGCCTTAGCCACTTGAGCCACAGGTGCTGAGCCTGTTTTTGTTTTTGAGACACAATCTCACTCTGTCACCTGGGCTAAAGTGCTGTGGCATCAACCTAGCTCACAGCAACCTCAAACTCCTAAGCTCAAGGTATCCTCCTACCTTGGCCTCCACAGTGTTGGGACTACAGGCATAGTGAGGCACTATGCACACCCAGCCTGTGCTTTTTTTTTTTGTTCCTTTTGAGGCAGAGTCTCAACTATTGCTGAGTAGAGTGCTGTGGTGTCACAATTCATAGTAACCTCCAACTAGGGCTGAAGCGATCCTCTTGCCTCAGTTTTTCTATTTCTAGTAGGGATGGGGTCTCGCTTTTGTTCAGGCTGGTTTCAAACTTGTGAGCTCAAGCAAGCCACCTGCTTCGGCCTTCCAGAGTGCTAGGATTACAGGCATGAGCCACTGTGCCTTTTTTTTTTTTTTAAAAGGTGGGAAAAATATATGGTTCTAGGCTGGTGGGAGTGCTAGCAGGGTGTAAAGTGGACAGTGTTGTGACATTGACTAGAGGGGTGGGCTGGGCAGAGCAGGGACATCCTCAGGGAGGGAGGTTGGTGGTGCAGGCCCTCCAGTCCGCTTCCAGCATCTTCCACTTCCTAAGTCACAGGCTGGGTAGAGGTGGCTAGGGGAGTAGACAAGGAGCAAAGTGGCCATGAGTGAGTGTGGACACTTGGTGTAGTCACTGGGAAGTGTGATGGACCCTGAAGCTCGTGGTCAAGATGGACAGACTGGTCAGTGTGGCCAGGCTCCTCTGGCCTTCTTCAAGTGCAGGTTGTCCAAGCAGGATTGAAGCTGTCTAAGCCCTGTGGCCTCCCAGCATGAGAGTAGGGGCCCTGGGAGAACTGGCAGAGGAGCAGGCCTGTCTCTAGGTGGGCCGATGGCTGGCCAACTGCTTCTGCCCCAGGCCCACATGCCAGACCCTCTGAGGTCCACAGCCACATCACAACATGGGGTGAGGAGTACATGCCAAAGAACCTGCCCTTCATGGGTCAAGGATGGCTCTGAGCCCTGGGCACCCTGCACTCCTCGGAGGCCTCCCTCCCAAGTGGCTCAGCTGCTGTGCTCTAGGATTCATGGCCCATCTTCACATGCACAACCTGTGTCCTCAGCCTATTCTCTACACGGATCCTTCACCTCTCCCCCAGGCCTTGCCAGTGGGGCTGTTTTCCACAAGACCCCCAAACCTTGTCCTCTGCCCTGGTCCCAGGGAGCCTGGGTATGGGCTGCAGCAGGCAAGTGAAGCCCCTGAAGCTTTGAATCCTGATGGAGGTCCTCAAGCACCCTGTCCCGCTCAGGGAGGGCCTCCAGTTCCTCTGCACAGGGCCTGGGGCTTGTGGAGAGGCACAACAGGAGTGGGAGCCCTGGCCCACGGTGAACTTTTCCTGTTGGTTGAGTGCAAGGAGGTGACAAACAGAGTCTGGAAGGAAATGAGGTAAGGCAAAGGGGTGGGCATAGGAGTGGCCACTGGGCAGCTAGGAGGATGGGCCAGTTCAGGACAGGGATGGGGGGTGGGTGGACTTGGCCAGCCAGGGACTGTGGTGCAGTGCAGTGGGCCTGGCTGGACTAAAAGACTACTGGCTGGCCTTGGAAGGCACTGAGGGCCACCCAGGCACCAATAAGGCAGGGTGGAGGTGGGGATGTGGCTGTCCTTTGGCAAGTAGGGGGCCAGAAGGCTCCCAGGTCCAACTCTTGGCCCAAGTTCTTTTTTTTTTTTTTTTTTTT